AGTGGTTTTCGTTTTTTTTTTTGACAAGATGCATTTAATAATATTATAGCTTTTTATATATTTATTTGATAGTGTAAAACTGTATTGTATTTTAGGATTATTTATTTTTAATTTTAATATGTATTATGCTTAATATTATTCATCTAATATTTCTTGTATTAATCATGTCAGAAACGTTTGCTACATAAATAAACAAAAAAAAATATATATATATATATATATATAATTTATTAAATCTTTATTATAAGCAATTTTTTTAATGACGAACATCAAATGAATAGAATTATTAAAAATATTTTCAATAACTTATTATTAAGAAGTATCGTCGAGAATTAAAAAATTCTTGTAATAAAATAAAAATTATAATTATTATAATTATAACCGATAATTATAATTCTCATTAGTATCGGTAAGTATTATTTTCATATTTGTAATGTGTATCGTTCCCAACTGGAATAAAAGAAATGGTATGAATAAATTTTATACTAATAAAAATATTGATATCCATTTTGTATTATTTCTTTAACTAACTGAATAGTAGAATAAATTTTATTTATATTGGATATACGTAACATTCACTGATAAATCTTTTTATAATACAAGAATGATATTATATGTATAATATTAAGGTGAATTGTTTATGGCAAATTAAAGGTAAAGAACGTTACTTTAATATTTATTATTCATTATTGTATACCTAGATTTTCTTATTTTATTTTTTAAAATTTTGAAAATATTTTTTTATTACATAGAAATAATGTAATTCATTATCAAGCTTTGTGATACCTTTGAAAAATATTATATTTTTTTTATATATTATTGATTCCTTTTGTATTGATTATTATATATTAATTTTTTAAAGATAATATCGTATTGTTATTATTTTTATTATTCATCATGGCATGCTAACTACATGAAGGAACTGACAGAAGATATTTTTTATTCGAAATCTAGATATTTTAAATATTTTAATATATATATATATTTGGCTTTAAAATATATATCCAAAGTTTATTTTATTGTTTTTTCTAGAAATATAAGTTATAACCAGTTTTCTTTATGTCATGATTTAGTAGCCCTAATAAAAAGCTTCCAATAGCTCTAACGATATAATAAAATTAAAGATAAAAACAATACAAGCATAAGAATACAATCAAAACAAATTAAGAACGTAGGAGATTTTTTAAATTTTACATGTCTATCGGTTTTATATTTGTATTAAAATTATTAAAATATTAGAATATTATTATATAATCGTATATTGTTTCTAAGCTATTTCATTTCTATTATCAATTTCCATATATCTCATTTTTAATATATTTTAGAAAAATATTCTATGGTATATATTATTTCAAGTGTAACTAATAAAATACAGATATTTTAAACTTTATAGTTTTACGAGCAAAATAAAAAGTGTTTCAAGTATTTAAAAAGTATTTCAATCGAGAATGGTCGTAATTGTATTATATAAAGTTTTGTAGTTAATATGTTTATACACCAATAATCATAATTGAACAATTAAAATGATAGAAATATTTCTCTGTATATATTTAAAAACATGAATTTAAATTTATTTTTTAATGTATATTTTGAATTAAAGTGAATAAATCCTTTTTGTTGTTGAAAGTTCATTTTTCCTGATATATTCAACATTTTCAAAATTAAGTACGTTTATGAATAGAACATTGAAGACGCATAAAAATATTTGGCATTGTTAAACTAGTTCATTTTTGTTCTTATAAGTTTTATTATTAAAAATTAATTTTTTTATAATATTAAATTTGTAATAATTAATTTATTTTTATAAAATATTAGAAATCAAATTAATTTTATTCAAAAATTTTAAACAATAAATTTTAATTATACATTATTATATATTTGATTACATTTTAATTATACATTATACTTATTTATACATTAGTTATTTATAATTAAAAAATATTACAAATGTATATATGAAATAAATGCTTTATATAAAATCTTAACTTTTTAATGTTAATTGAGTAATAATTTATGTTCAATGTTCAAATACACATCTTTAAACAATAATAAAATATAATTTTATATTATAATGATTTAAGTACATTTTAATACGACATTTTTAAGTCTAAATAGGGATTTGATATATGTATAGTATAACTCAAAATATGTTAACGATATAAATACTGTAATGTTATTATTAAGTAAATATGTTATAATGCAAACATTGAAATTCACATTATAAATCAATTGACGAAACCCGACAAGCAAAGCTGAGCAAAGAAGCTTTGAGAATAGTCGATACATCATTTGAAAAAAATTCCCCAATTAATAGTTAAACATTATATCATTAAGATTTGAGCTGTACTCTTTTATATTTCAGTTTCGCTATTATAATGAGGCAATTTATTATATATCACAAGAATATAATTACTAACAGGATCGATAAATTTCATAGATGGCTTGAAAATTTTATTACATAGTGTGAGGAAGATTTTAAGACTAAGGTTTCTAATAGTTTCATTCGATTTAATAAAATCTTGTAAATTGTTTGGAATTTTGCCTAAGTTACCTATCCAGTAACTGAAACTTAAAGGACACGAATTTACATAACGGTAACCTAGCGATAAGCGTGCTTGGAGTTTTACTTTCTCTGATACAATATTTGAATATGTAACATCAATATCAAACAGCTGATTACGCATAGTATTTTATGAGTTCATTCGTTGATGCGAATATATAAAAAATTCGATAAAACATGCAGTTTTCTAATTTACACACTATTTTAATGAATAATAACATTTATCGTTATTTAAATAAAACATTTATTTCTAATCGAAGTTTATTTACTATGTATCATAATTAGGAATTCATACCTACAAGTTCTGTTTGTTCACAAACATATTTATATAAAATATTGTAATGCAACGTTTTTATAAGTGAAAAATTTAATTATTTAAATATTTTGAATTTTTTAAATAATTTAGATTCTATAATTTAGTATTGTTAAAAACTTTCACTTACTGAAATTTCCAACCTCTATTTGTGTAAAACAATATTATAAGCATGTTTTCTTATGACTGTTTATTAGTTTCTCAACACCAATATTTAATAAAATTTGAAATATTATGATCTATTATAATTACTATACAAAATAAATTGAAGAGTAATATTTAAGATAATTGATTCTAAGATTAAATTAGTACAAATTTACAATTAATTTACAATTAATAAAAATAATAAATATTTGTTTTAAAATTTTTTGTAACATCATAATATAATATACTCATGATACTTGACTGAATTTCTTATTCATAGATAAATTCATAAAATGTTCATAAATAAATTTAGTATTACTTTAAGTATCAGCATTAACGCATCAGACGATATTTTATATTTTTGACATTCTTAAGCTACTTTTATAATACGTAAAGCTGACGTAATTCGTTATCACGTTTTGTACACATTTTGACAGATTATTAGATTCTATAGTGCATTTATTCAAGCCTTTAAAATTTCTTATATAGTTAATGTTTATCATTGTTTTTTTTTTATTAAAGAAAATTACATAAAAAAAATAGAATATTAGTTTTGATATAAGTACGATTCAATTTTGTATATAAATAATATAGAAATATAATTGCACTGATATCTCTATTACATTTCTAGAATATTTTATTAATTATTAATATTGTATTTTGACTCATTTTCATTTTTTGAATGAAAAAAAATACTATTCTATAACTTCTAATAAAATCATACTCTTATTATTCTAATGTACTTTGACTAATGTATAATTTATGTATTTTTATATACTTGTATTTTTTAAATCGATTCAAAACGCTTAACAGTCATAATTATTATATGATAAATTGAATCAGATTTATGAGAAAATCTCATATCAGAAAATTGTAACTTGTGCAGTTAAAAAAAAATGATATTAATATGATTTTAGAGTTAACATTTTGTATCAAAATTCAATTTTAAATACTTTATAGTTGCATTATACTTCATAATTTATTAAATACTTATTCAAATAAAAGAACTTGCAAAATATTGAATAATTTTCATTCTGATAAAAATTTTTTAATTCAATTCTGGAATTAAAATTTATTATTCTATTCTGGACACTATTTCATGGATATTTTTCAAAGTTTTTTAAAATGTTTGATATTCATATATATAAAGCAAAATGACATAAAGTTAATTACGTCAATTATGCAACTAAAAAATTGTAATTAAGTTGCAATTATTTGTAGAATATGAAAAATTAGAATATGAAAAAATTGCTTGAATTTGTAACAGTTATTCGAATAAATTTTGAATTACATAGAAAAATGATTTTAATGCGATAATACTAAAATAAGTGAAGAGTTAATTTTTAAAATGAAAATTTGTAAAGAATTAATATTTAAATGTCAAATGAATTGCATTTATTTTTCTACGTAAATGTACGTAACAGATCACTTACGATGACAAAAATTCTGCATTTTTTTATATTTTTACTATTTTTATATTTTTATTTTAACTGTAAGAAAAATATTTCATCATTTATATATTATAAAAATAAAAATTATGCTTATGAATTTAATACTACAGAGTATTAATTTTGCTTGCAAATTTTTAATTATTTAACTAAAACCCCGTAAAAGTTCATTATTATATATTTTATAAATTAAACACTCATAATAAAGTTTGAAGTATAATACATGATTAACTATGTAACATTTTAATCAAATATAAAACTTATATACAAATATTATTTAATACATTCTATAAAATGAAAATAAAAAATCGGAATCGTAATTTAAAAATTTGTTAAAGTATACTAAGTAAATAATTTTACTAATCATCAAATGCACGTACACACGAATTTTATATTATTTGAGGAGGTGTTCTAACTTAGCATGCTATTCAAACGTGATTTTAAACAACGACTAAACTATAAAATAAATATAGTATCATTTTATGGACTATTTTGTATTGGATAAAGCTCTTAGTTAAAAATTAACTATATTTTATCAAATTTTGGGTAGTTGGAGTTCGAAAGTATTGGTTTTTCGACTAAAAGTAAACAGTTAGCAGTTTTATAATGTTCCATTATAAAATATTTACATCACTTGTCTTAACACTAGTTATGATTGTATATTTACAAGATATAGCAGTAGCTGTATGTACTAAATTTACTTACTACTTTACATAATCTTTGGTATTTAAATCTACTTTGACAAGTATTTTTCTTAAGATAATTCGTAATAAAATCTAAAATATTAATGCAATATTTACGATTATGTAATCGACAACTGATAACAATGTAATATCATTATACATATAATAATTTATATTTCTTATTAATGATTTTAATTATTTTAATTTGTAAGTGAAAAATGCTATATTATAATAAATAAATGTTTAAATTTGGACAATAACTTTAACAAGATGTTTATTTGGTTTTATACTATAACACATAATAAATAGGTTAAAAGAAAAACGCACGTTGAATGTATCATTGAAGCTGCAAATGCATGCCAAAAAGTAGCAAAAGATAAAAACATTAATTGTGTGGTAAGTAATTATGTATTTTCACTTTCAGTTGTTCATGATTCAATAAAAATAGCTCTTTATTTTCAGATGAAATATTACAGTACGAAATGTTTTAAATAAAATAAGATTTTAAAATTTCAAAAATTTATTTCTGATTTGAATTGTTATATATTTGGAAAACAATTTTATGCATTTCTATGAATATGAATAAATTAAAAAATCTTTTAATTTAAAAATTATTAGAAAATTATTTATTTTCTTATATTTTTGATTTTATGTCATATGTAGTATCTATAACTGATTTTTGTAAACAAAATAGAAATAATATTTTGTGAACCAGTACTTCTTATTTTAAAATAGGTGTATTCCAAGGCAAGGATTAATATCTCCAATAGCTGTGATCTTTATAAACTCTGAAAATAATTGTAAGATGAAGCAACATACAATATAGTATAAGCATAATAAAATCACATCATACGTTTTCTTCTTACACATTTTATTATTATATAGCTTTAGTAGTATATATATATATATACTTTTTTAATATGTTGTTATGATCATCGATCTAATCCAATAATTCATTGAAGTTAAAATAAATAATCAATTTCTCATTCAAATAGTAAAATCGATCATATTTGAAGCACTATGATTATTGTTTAAGGATATTGAGTTAATCAAATAAACTTAAATTATATAATTAAACTTTTTCTAATGTACATTAGACGAATATAAGTATTCCAGATATGCCTTAATACAAAAGCTTTATGAGTTATTATATTATTTCCGATTATAATATCGAGTGATAGGAAAAATAGATTTTTTCTCTATTAAAGTAAATGTAATGCTTTTTTGAGAGTATTTTTGCAAGGAGTGGTGGGGAGGCATGAATGACAGCAACATTGATTGGGTAAAGCACCGAATGACCGAATACGATTTGTATTAAAAGACTCATGAAATACTTGAATATATATATGCGAGAGCATTAATTGTTGTTAAATGAGTGGGACGTAGCAGATAAGAATTCAATGAAAATTAACTGTAGAGGGGTCAAAGTAGTGAACACATGTATAAAAGCGTACAAAATTTTAATTTGAGATTCTTTTCTTCGTCGGATCCTCAAGGTAATTTTTAGAGTTTAATATATAAATTTCATTCGGAAAAAATTTTTTAACATATGATGTTAATACATATATAGAAATATGTTTGATTGCATATGTTAAATATATAATACTTATTATAAAATAACAGCATATTTTATCCTGATATTTTTAAATTCAAGACAATTAATTAATTTGTGGATATATATAATTGATAGAGAGTTTCCACAAATGTTTTTTATTTAATAAATATTAAAATAATTCGACTTTTTCATCATTAAATTTTATCGTTAAATTTTTATTTTTCAAGACATAAAATTAATAAAAAATATTTATTTTGTTAAATATGAAATGAATCGGCACATCATAAAATCCCATAAAAATTATTATTGACAGTCACAAGTATGTACTGAATATTTGATAAATAAGTTAAAATTATTAAGAGAATATCATTCAATTTCTTATATTTATTGGATACTAAATTATACAAATAATTATACTTTATGAATACATTCTGAATGATATAAAATCTTTTTTTTTATTATTACATTACACAATTGTGGATAAAATAAGTACCAATGTATTAAAGATAGATACCCTAGAACGTATAAAATGTTTTATTTTTGAATTCATGATAAACTATTTGTAGTATAATATTGTTTTCTTCAAAATTATTTATATACCCTCTTTTTATATGTGCATCCAAATTATTAATTAAATTATTCTTTTTAATATGCGTATGTGAAATACGTAAATTTTGGATTTATTACATTTATACGTGCTCTATCAAAATCCCTCTGTCTAATAAAAAATTGAGTAACTATATTTTATTAATAATACAAATATGATAATATTATTGAACTAATCTTTTTATTCCTATTAATAACAATTCATTATTAAAAATTTAAAAATGATTGAATTAAATTTTATAGGTACTACTTTTATAAACAAATACTTATTATTGTGTAATATGAAATAATTAGTTAACTTTTCTTGAAAATGAAACTTCCATATATATGATATTTCAATGAATATATGCATAAAATTATTCATAATAAAAATACTAAATATCAAAACGAGTTAAAAACGAAAATGCATAAACTAGCTATAAACCATGGATTGTGGCAAAATTGTATAGAATAACAAAATATAATATTCTACGAATTGTTTATAAAGAATATGATATATAATTTAAATCACATTTGTTAATTTTACGTAATATAAAATTCGACATAATCCTTATAATTTAACGAATAGTAAAAAATTATTCATTTTTATCAAATCTTTTTTAGAAATTCATTTGGAATAAATAATAATTTATTAAAGATTTATTAATCAACACAGTTGTAAAATAGTGGATTTCAGAATTCATAATTTCAGAATGTTTTCTTACAAATTATTGGTATGCCTCTTTTTTGCAATTGTTATTTTCTTCAATGTAGAAGCTTTTCCTGACGAGGTATGTACATACAAAATTAATGATTAGATCAAATAAATTTTTTGTTTTTCTGAAAAAAAATTATTTTCGAACACCATAATCACGTTAAACAATTTTTATGTATTTTAATTTTAACGATTTTATTACTGCAAATTGAAAAATACATTTCATATTCGTAAACATAATTTTTCAACGTATGAATATTTAAATTCAACAATTAAAATATTAAATATTATGCAATATGTAATGCAATACGTTTAAGAAACTTTGTGCATAATATTTAGTAGTTTAAATGCTTATTTTTATAAATTCTATATTTAATTTGTAAATACCAAAAGTTGTATGTTTAGTTACTTTATCATAAATAATGTCAATTTTTTATAGTATGAGAAAGGGAAATGTCTACGGGAAGCTATTAATGCGTGCAAACACATAACGGATGAATCAAACTACGATTGTGTTGTAAGCAACCATAATTTTTTATTATATTTTAGTTTTTAAATAATTAAATTGAACTCTTTTTATTTTTAGAATGCATATCATATGAAGCATTGTCAGAAGGTTTAACCAATTTCTCCTAAATGTTGTTATATTCTACAAATATAAATATTTAGCTATTATCTTACTATCTGTAATCACTTTAAATATTTTGTGATTTAAATGTTTATATCTGTTATTAAATTATATCGAATGATCTATATTTTCTTTATTTCTTTGAATTGTGCAATTTAAAGACATTAGTTTTAGATAATTTACTATTTTTATGTATTATTTGAGTACTTACTTTTTTCTGTTTTAAAAGATTTAGGTATTTTGCAAAATTAATAATTTGTTAATTCAATTTTATATATTTTGCGATGAAATAATTAAATATTTAGTCTACGATCTAACTAAAAGATTTAATTATATAGTTTTGATAAATAAAATATCATTTTATAATGATTCTTTCTACTCGCAATTACAATTTCTTTAAATGTAATGTGCTTTTTTATATATATTAAGAAGTATGTAGAATCAATATAATTCACTGTAAAAAATAATTTATTACTTCTTCTTTTTAATTTGACGTTGCGAGAAAACAATTGATTAAAAATTAATATTTTTTATATGGATGATGCTATTACTATTTCATATCAATTATTTGTTGATTAATTCCAATAAAATATTAAATAAAATAAATCAATATTTGATTTTTTCCAAGTCATAGTGTAATGACCATTAAAGACTGACCTTTTCTTAAATTCATTAATAATGCATAATCTATTAGAATTTTATTATTTTCAATATCATATTTTAGACATTTTTTATATATATAAATATATAAAAAATATTGGTATAAAAGTTTATAAGATAATTGAAGATATACAGTCAAACTTTATAAAATCAACTGAAATTAATCAAAATATTTTTGGGAATAATATTGATTTTAATAATATAAATTTCAATCAACAATTTGATTTCCAATCAAATTATTTCCTATTAGGTTTATCTTTATTAGAGGATTTTCTTAAATTTATTTGGATTAATTATACCATAGATATTAAAATTTTAATTAAATTTACAAAAGCTATTTTTTAATTTAATAAGCTTTACTTTAGTGTACTAAAAAATTTCCAATTTTTTTGATAAAGCTTTTAGTTCTTCATATGTTCTATGCTCAAAATATTGAGCGGTCTAACTGGATTATTATTATATTAAATGAATAATTGCTATTATAATTGACTAAAAATAATAATCTCTATAATTTCAGTAACATATAAAATTTTATTTTAATTACTATACATATTCACTTTAATATTTTTAATAAAAAATTATTTATGAAAGATAACATTTTACTTATTTTGTTTAATAGAAATTAAATATAACGTTATTACATTTGCATATATTGTCTTTGTTTATCTGAAAGTATATTACGTCTAGAAAATTCTACTGGATGAGCTCTATTGCCACTGAATAGAGGTCTTAAATGGTTTTTTAATTTACTTAGAAATCTGGAAGTATTACACTTTACAGTGTAACCCTTTAAACTAATAGTTAATTACTTTTATCTTTGTTGCCGATCACTATTTTACACGAACATGTAGGCGATTTTCGAGATCGAAAGCTAATACGACGAAAATGTCATCCAAGTAACAAAATATGCGTTGTTCCAAGAATGGAGAATGGATATATCAAATTATTATTACTCTATGGAAAGGAATTGAAATTAATCAATATTCAATATTTTGAGGAACAGAAAGTCGAATATGGTTAAAGTATTTTTAGCTTTAGCTTTAATAGATCAGCAACGATCTAGTAATTAGAACAATAAGAGATATCAATCATTGTCACACTTTCTATTCTTATATGACTAGGATTGCCTATTCTTTCTAAATTTGTCGATTTTATGAAAGGAGTTTGTGCATTGCAAGCATGAATACATTAGGATAAAGTGAAAGAAAAAGAGAGATATAGAGAAGATACTAAGAGGAAACGATAAAAAGTTCCAGACATTTATTATATCTCACATTCAGTAAATAAGAACGTGATTAAAAATAGAATACTTAAATTGACCTTAAAAAAAATTTGTATATATATATCCGAATATTTTGTGTTTAACCTCAACATTTCTATTACGTTTGAAGTTTCTTAATATAATGATAATATTTCTATATATAATAAAATTGAAGAATGACGAGAATTTGAATTTATTATTTTTTAAATTTATAATTGATTTTAGAACTATTACGAACATGTTATGTTTTTAATGAAATCCTTATTTATCCATTAAATGACAAATACAATATATATACCTAAGTTGAAGTAAATTAAAATTATATTTATTTCTTATTATACAATGTATTAATTTATTTTCTAAACCATGCATTCGGTTTTGAAAAATGTAGATATTCCTTTAATGTAAGCTATTTATGATCAACAGTATAGCTGGTTAACTAACTTATTTGAGAAATTTTATAAACCAACACCATTTTATTTATATCCATATTTAGAAATGAAATTGAAAATGGTATTTTTTAAATCATGTTTTTTGTACAAAACAATCTCGTCAAGAAAAGACAGTTTATTATTAACTTAATGTAATTATATTACATTTATATTCATTATGTATCTCCAGTACAGTTACTACATATTAGCAAACAATAGTTTATAATACTCAAATATTAAAAAAATTTTTAACCCTAAAATACAGTATTATATAGTGTAATATTTAATAATATGTAATATGTAATAATAATCAGGCTATAATATCGTATCTCTCCAATAATAATTTAAACAATTATTATTAAAATTTGGTTGAAAGTAAATAATAGTCTATAAAATATTATTATTAAATTATTATTGGTTAAAAAATGTTTATAAAATAGTGTCCCGTTTCATCAATTTGAGTAAAGTATTGATAGTCGCACAATGATCAGTTACAAGCTATTTGTTTACCTACTTGTATTTATTATCTCATTCAATGCAGGAGTAATAGGAAAAAAGGTAATGTATATCACACAAACGATTCTAATAATAATTTTTTTTTATACAAGCTGGGCATTTTTAATAAAAATTTCGTAAATGATCTCGTATCTGAAATTATCAGATGAGTTTTTTTAATTTTGTAGTTGGTTCATTTATTCATAATTTATAGTAATAATTTTATGTAATGCAAATAAAAAAAGTATGTTTTTATAAATATACTAATATTAAAAATATATTAATGTATCTTTAAATAAATAAATCTAGATATAACCTATTCTATTATTCATAATCTAAATTTGTAATTTAAGGAATATATTTTACAAATGTGAAATGTTTTTATAGTCTGAAAAAAATTGTGCTCATGAAGCTGACAAAGTATGTAACAAATTACCCGCAGAAGAAAAACACAGCTGCATCGTAAGTAAACATACAAATTTACTAACTTTATTATTTGAGTAATTTAATTAAATATTTCTTTATTTATAGGAATCTTATTTTGCTAATCACTGCACTGGATAAATTACCACTTAAAAATATATCATGTTTTTCCAGTAATTTGGATTTTTATGTTTTTAACTAATAAAACTATAATAATTATTATGTATATACTCGTTTTTAATTAATAAAACACTCACACACACGCGCGCGCGCGCACACCCGCACGCACGCACGTACGCACAATATTTATATATATATATATATATATATATATATATATATATATATATATACATATATATACATATTTATAAATATTTATCAAATAACCATTAGATTTTCACTAATACAGAAATATGTGCATCTTCAAATTACTTTTTAATTTTATTCTTAAAATTAGAACTCAATTTTCTTCTTTCTGTTACCAAATAAATTAAGGTATAATAATAAATTATTTGTTATATACTTGTACAGTATATAAAGCAAAATTGAAATATTAGCGTTTGTAAATACGAAAAGAAAAGAAAATAAGATAGCAAATTATTGTAGTTTATGAATATTAAGAAAATATCCATAATTACTAAATAGTTAAGGTTGTTAATTGACATTTGAATTATTGTGCAATATAAAGATATTATATATTTGAATAAAAAACTCTTGCTACAACTATTAAATTTTGTTATATTTACAATGGAAATATATAATTATGAATTTCATTAATTTATAAAATAATATCAATTGAGTATTTTTCAATAGAATTTATTTCGAAATAGTTTATAACCTAGTAATGTAATAAACTTTAACAAAAAATTCTTATAAAAAATTCATAGTTATGTTATCGTTTAAATGCCTTGGTCACTCATTAAAAAGTATGTCCTACTGCAAATAAAAAGAAACGTGATTTGTAATAAGAAATGAACTTATAGATTCAAAATTACATATTTTATAATTGTTATTATTGTACAACGTGTAATGAAATAATCAAAAATATGAAATTCTGTAGTTGAATGTAACATAAAAAGTAAATGCATAAAATATAACATATTAAAGCCTAATTTATTGTATAACGGTATGTTGTAAACCGAAGAAACTATCAAACATATATAATAATGAATGTGCATTTGAAAAAAAATTGTATAACTATTTTTTATTATCTATTTTGACGAAGTAATTAATTTTTGTATTTCACATAAAATGTAACTATAAATATAACATTAAATATTATGATTTTGATACAAGTTGCTATTTTGTGACATTATTATTCTTAAAATTTGCATAAAAATTTAAATAATATTTTCAAATATTTGTTAATTTAAATAAAAATTTATGTTCATGTCAATTAAATTCCTCGTGTTATTGAACATAATGTAAAAAATATACTAGAAAATCGTGCTTTTTTCATAAAATTCATGAAACAATAAAATATTATAAATTATTTAACGAAGATTTTTAGACATCTTCAAATGAGGTAAATTATTCTCTATGAAATATTTATTAGTTAGGTGAAACTAAAATACAAAAATATTGAATAATATTTCATGTTGTTTTAAAATATAATAATATCAACATGTTTTGTTATAAATTATTTGTATTGCTATATTTTATATTATGTATTATCTATACTGTGGAGATGTTAGCAAACGATGATGTAAAGTGTAGAATTATTTATATAAATATTTATATAATTTTTTAATTTATGATATTGTAATATATGCAAGTTTTTAATATCTGTCATATATTATTGAAAATATTTGTGATTCCATACTATTATATTTTTTAAATTATATTTTTATAATTATATAAATATTTTTAACTAATATTTTTAGCTTAGTCTGTTTTAATATATAAATAAAAATCTTTGTAATTACGACATTAGAATTTTACAATATCATAAATATTTGTTTATCTTTCAAATAATATATCAATTATTTATATAGTTCACAATATAGCTTACAAGTACAAATAATATATATGTATATATATATATATATATATATATATATATATCGTAATACAAAATATCATATTCGATTACTTTATAGGAAAGCATAAGGCAATGTTTCGCAAATGTTGTAAAATCATGCAGTAAACATAAGAATTCAAAAAAGCGTCATACTTGTGTGGTAAGTAAAAAAAAAAGAAATATGTATCTTTTTTTGTTAATTTTTAATTATTAATTAAAATATGTTTTATATTTAGGAAAAAAAATTTGCTAGAATATGTAATGGTTAAAGGGTATTTTAAAAGTGTTTATATCAATGAAATATAATTTTGCATTCTCTACTTGTATGTGAATATATATTTTATATGCTATAGTTATAATAAAATATTATAAAATAAAATATTTAATAATGATGCATTGAAATTAATGCTGATATTAATTTAATTTTCATTATTTTACGATTTAAGCAAATATATTGATAAAAGAGAATATTAATAATTTATATTAATCTTGTAATTTATTTTTAAATTAAGATATAATTATATTGAAATTTGTATTCAAAATTATATTAAATTAATTTTAGCTAAAAGGCTTTACATTGTTGTAATTCTGATTATTTTTTATATATACTCTTCATTTACTTTCAATTTTGAAAATATATTAAACTTGAAGTTTAATTTTTGGAAGAATTTACTTCATTCTGATTTCTTCAACTGATTTCTTATATGCGAATCACTATCATTTGATTATTCTTCTTATTTCATTTAGCTTATTTTCTTATTTAAGATGTAAATATTGCGTAATGAAAGTCACACGAAGTGATTAGATGATTACTTATTTACCGCCGTTAATTATTTTATTATAATTATATTTTTATATTATATTATTATTTATATTTTATATAATTACATGATAAAAATACTTAAAATAAAGAATTCAAAAGACAAAATAAGAAATAAAAATGTCAATATGAAAATTATATCTTTATGTATTTAAATCAATATTATTTTATTTTTTATTCGTAGCTCTTGAATACTTGGCAATCATTTTATATATCCTTGAATGCTATAATACCGTTAAAAAGTTAGAGTATCTAAACATTTAATACATAATACTATTTATTCAAAAGTTCAAAATTCTAATACGTATACAATAATTAAATATTATTCATTGCTTTAACCTACGATAGTGTGTTTATAGATCAAATTTCACTCTGTGATTTTATTGTGGCGAGACTTATGGTTGTTCAATATAGGACGAAATATTCGGAACTCGCCATATCCTGAGGTAATTGTTCGCGAATTCTACTTGTGTTACTTAGACTCGTTACGAATACGTTAACAACTAGACAGTGCCACCTGGTTAACGTCTTGAGAGATCCATCAGGCAACATCAGAAGTGGTGATAAGAATCACTGATATTATGGCAATGACATGACCAACTGATTAATATGGAAAAAATTCTATAGCCATTCCAACAGTGGAAAATAAATAATACTGAATAGTATTGACTGATAATATTGATAAATTACGCGTGTAGATATAGAATGAATAGATTGTCGCATACGCTCGAACCTTATGGTCAGAATCTTAATTAAAATATGGAAGTATACTTCAAAATCATTTATATAAAAAATAAAATTTATTTGTACATATTCATGACCGAATGTATCGATTAATTTTATTTTACAGTTTACTCAAATATATTTTAATATTATAAAATAATCAAATCGTGAAGTTTCAAGTTTTTTTTTATATAAATTTTAGACATAAAATATAAATTTGACACGAGCATTTCTAAAAATACTAATAAATTATATATATTATTATACATCAGGTAAAAAATTATACTAATATCTATTTTAATAAAAAATATCTTTAATTGCATTATGTTACGATACGTAGTAGTTTTATACATTTTCTGCATATTCAGCATAATTGTTATTTCAACAGTAACAGGAACAGTACGTATTTAAACTATTTTAAGCTGAAATTATTATTATTGTTTTATTTTAAAAAGATATAGTGAAAAGGTAATTATAAAATTATCGATTAATTTTCGATAATTAAATTAAAATTATCGATTTAATTTCAATTATTTAATCATAAACACAACATAAAATAGTCAGCTTTTGTTTTTCACAAGAACATCCCTTTGGTTTTATCTTTGAGGAGTATAAATATATTTTTTTGTTATGTATGTGTTTGTAAACATAGGCATGTATGCATATGCTTATAATGTATACTTGATCAAATTTTTTATTATAATTAAAAAATATACATTAAAAATATAATATTAATTGAAAATATATTTTAAGTCTTTCATTTTGAAAAATAAAATAAATATATTCTACGCTTGAAAACGATAATCTATACAGTTATTATAATATATTTGTTAGGGAGTAGCGGTAATAACTAACAAATTTCGGGCAGAGTCGGTTAAAGCATGCAAACACGTTGTAGATGCCAAGCAAAAATATAAGTGTCTCGTACGTAGTTCGATATAAACTTTTAATATTATTTAAATAATTAATTACTCCATGATATTTATTTTTCAGGTGAAGTATTACAGTAAGCTTTGTGAAAATAAAAAATTGAAATAAAAATGCAGAACTAAAGCCTATCGAAAGCTTTTTTATATTACTATTTGTAATACATATTTATAATTTTTTTAATATATAAGCTGTAACATTAATATAAATTAAAATAAAAAATACGTACCATTATTTATTATACTACAATACATATTGTTATTGTATACTCTGAATGTGCTTTGGTATAAATTTATTGCAAATTTTGTCTACAGGTTAAAAGTAAAATTATGGATTACAACACACAAAATGCAATATTGTACTTCTCTAAAAACTTTGCATTATATATCAACTCTTCATGTTTACGTCTACAATTTTAAATAATATAAAAATAGTAATGCATATATATATATATATATATATATATATATATTATAATTGACTCATTCATTGAGTATATTATGTAATTATGTATATCGAAGATGAATAATTAATTGAGCTAAGAATTGGTGTTAAATAATTATTTTTTATTTTGTCAAAATATTTAATTGAACGACGTTCTATTTATGTATTTTATTACTAAGTATTACATTGTATCGGGATAATAAATATTTGATAACAATTTCTTCTGATTTTCAAACAATACATATTTATTTGTCAATTTAAAATTGTATTCAGTATGAATTTTTGAAATAAATAAATATATTAGTAATATTCTAATCTTTGATCGCATATCTTTAATATACTAAGAGAAGAGATACAATTAAAATCTGATAGCAACCAATAACTAACAATTCCTGTCACCGTACACCAATCATATTTGTCACTTGCATATCTATACACTGTTACTGATCGCTATCGTTTAATCTACTATCCCGTTATCTTTTCCCTTTTATCATTTGTTTTTTATTCATCAGACATTATGTAACCTTTCATCACTGCTTATTTTTACACTGTGTCTTATTTCATTGTCCTCACCTACCATTGTTCTCTGTTACAATTTTTCTTTTCCCTCTTTTTATTATATTTTTGCCTTTTCCACGTTAAACTATACTGTAACTAAATTATTTCCTGTTATATCTACATGATTATAAAAATAAAATATAATAACTTCGTATAATGAATTTGGAAAATATGAAATATTGACAATTAATATTTTACAATACACTTTATTATTTTTTATTTTATTCTTCGAATATGATTTTATTACTTATTACTGCTGTTTCATAAAGTTAAGATGATTATTGTATTATTTAATGAATTTATTGATTATCGAATTCATTAGTTTTCGATTTATTATCGAATTCTTAAAATCATAACTACAAACAATTAAACTTTACATTTATTATGCGTATACTTTTCTGTAATTTCATTTGTTAATTATGAAAGAAGTATAATAGTTGGGCTTCAAAATTTATTAATTTGAAATGGATATGTATGAATTTCATATTAATAGTTAATAAATTTAATTTAAATGTTATTCATTTATTTATTTTTTAAAAATGATAATAAACTTCTAATACATTTTTAATACGGTTTTACAAAACATTGAATTAAATATTTTTGCATATTTAAATAATAAAATAAATATTTAAACTTTAAACAATAAGTATTTTGAGTTTGATATATTGGTTCTAAAAATAAGAAACCATGTAAATTGGCTTTTGAATGATGTATAATATATACATGCAAGTTTGTAACATAAAAGCTATTAATTTACTATTAATTCGATCCTTTCGCAATAGAAAAGTTTTTGCAGTCACTTAACTCAACTTAAAAAAAAACACATAGATAAATATATAGATTTACAGATACAGAACCAGCGAGAGAGAGAGAGAGAGAGAGAAAGAGAATCAACAAATAATTTTTGTATTGCGTACTTGGACACCCATAGTTCTGTCATTTTCAAAGGAGATCAAAGTGTTCTTAATTATTTATTAAATCAAAAATTTAATTGGATGAAGTTTACGTTATTTTATCATAGTTTCGTAATTGTCATTTAAATTTTATATTCGATTTTGCAGACTTTTTGCATCTAATTTAATTTGAATTAATAGAATTCAAAAAGATAAAACAAAGTGTTAATTTTACATTTTAAACTTCTTCATTACATTTATAAACAAAATTTTATTACCTTTTTTTGTTATTTTTTAACAAGTGATATAATATACGTATATTTAAAATTTGTTTTTAATTATATTGAATACACATTACAATAATCATAATACGATTAATTAAATAAAATAACTAAATTTTTTATTCTATATATATTTTATAATAATTATATAATTTTATTGAATTCTAAATTAATAAATTGCATTAAAAATTATATAAAAATTTTATTATATTTTATAATAAAATATGTTAATGATATAATTTAACCATATTTCATTATATTCAATGTCAAATTATAAATAAATAAAAACAGTCCTTATTAATTAGTCTACTGAATATATGTAAATGATAAAATTTTTATATTTTAAAATTCGTTACCATGTTATTGTACATTGAATTATTTAATATCAAAATCATATGTAAATTTTTTTTTTTTAATTTATATAATAATTAAGTAAAATAAACATTAATGTATTAATAGTTTATGAATAATTTTTTATTTAATAATAATATTTTGGAACAAGATGATTTAATTCT